CATAATTAATTTCGTAAATTTCTAATTGGAGTTCTTTTCTATATATTTTGTAAACTATCAGAGGAAGAATATTGGAAACATTGTCACACGCGCGGGTCCCGGTTCTGTGCTTACACTTGTGTAGCTGACGTCTCCAACGAGAATTCCGTTTACGTCAACGCCGAATCGTTCCGATGTTATTACCTAAACCAACGAAATTTTTGATTATCGACGTTATTCGGTCGATTTTGGTGATCAAATCGGATCGATCCGACATCGACGTTAATTGACCTCTCACTTGGCTCAAACGCGCCCGACCAGATGTTACTCGAGCGGTGTACGATCTGCATTTCACATAATCAAAAATTTGAAGCAAGTTGGAGCGAAAAGATATTTCGATCATCAGCTGTTGGCGGCCGTGTTCCGGGGGCGCATTCCAGCGACACCTCCGGGGGGCTCCGGGGGGAGACTGTCCGCCCGTGCCTGTGCATTCGGATGAGTTACACCCGCCCACCTGGGCAGGGCCAGGGCAGGGCACCTGGGCGGGGGGCCCGGGCCGGCCGCGGGGGCGCACCGGCCCTGCCTGCCCGACCCGCCCGGCCATATATTTCCCCACCGGAACTTGAAAAGGGCCGTGCTCCGGTGGTGGCACGGACCCCGCCGGGTCCCCCGGAGCCGGGCATTGACGGGGAGGTGCGGCCGTGGCGCGGTGAGCCGCCGGCGCGCTCGGGTCTCACGCCCCCGCCGCGGGGAGCCGGGGTCCCCCCTGCGCTGCTGATGCACCGCGATTTCACGCCCCTGAATGCAGGTGCGACAACTTCGCCAATGTGGGTTTTTGATGTTCTCGTTTCGCTCCGGGGAACCTTTTTTGGACAGCGTGCTGACTCCATATTTCGCGCATGCCCACCGCGCCAGACTCCTATGGAGCTTGAATGCGGCGTTATTTTAAATTTAACCCCATCGCTCGTGCTGCAATGTTGCTAAATGACACACTAAACGGCTGCCAGTAAAAGTGTCAGGGCCGGATAATGGTATTTAGGCGTGAACCTGCGCCTTTGTCTGCGTGGGAACGGCGGAGGTGCGAAAGGCCGTGAGTCATTTATTGCCCTTGTTAGTTTCCATTGCCATCCCCTTCTACACCGCCAAAAACACCATGGCAGAGGACTATTTTTATTTGTTGCGCACAACATTCCCGAGATTCCATTACTGTTGCTTGCGCGACCGGCTTATCTCGCTCGTTGAACTTTCCGCGTGCGACGACTGATGGGAAACTGAACGCGTTGCGATGTTGCTCTTCTCTTTCTCGCCATAGAGGTGCGTTTCGTTGCCTTTCTCCCGTTGGAGGCTGTACGGACGTAGGGAGAGCTGGTGTTCTCGACGACACTGACCCGGCCCTGGGGCGCCACACACGGTAGCTAACCCGGTAGCGGCCGCAGCCTTGTGGAACACCGACGGCCGACACGGCGGGACACTTTTAATCCTTGAGTTTCTCCGCTTGCCGTGGTATTGGGGAGCGAAGCGACGCGGTGAGAGGCAAGACAGAGATCCGTCATTGTCGGCCGGGATAAAGATACTGCCACACTCTGACGTGCTGATCATCGCCGATCACCCTCCAGGGGCCTTGCTGCCCGCGGCGGCTCGTCGTGGATAAGAGATGCACACAGACCGGGGGGCCTTGTCGTCGCGCAGGTGCAGCCGCCCTTGGGGGACTCTGTAGTTCGCCGCGCCCTTCCGGGCTAATAAGAAACGGGCGGGCTCATTTGATTGTATGCAGTTTGTTGGCATGTTTCGAGAAACGGGACTCGTGTGTGTGTGTGTCCGCCGGCCATTGAAGCCTCGCCGCCACGCATTGTCCCCGGTACACACTGTATCCGGCTCGGCCCGCCCGCCCGCTCGGGCTGACCCCTTTACGCTCGGACCCGGTGTCCTCCTCGGGCCCTCCACTTCTTGCAACCACCCCTGCGCACACGTTCCCCTGTTGTTGTCGTCGTCGCCGTGCTCTGCCGTACACGCGGGTGTACTGTATCCTGTACGCGCGTGTTTGGCGAGCAGCACGGCTCCACCCACATCTCCGTTCCCATCTGCTGGCCGCGGTGCGGTGCTGGTGGTGTCCGCCCTCTTTCGCGCTGCCCGTCGGATTGTATTGTGACAGGCGAGGCAACCTACCCGCACCGGCGGGGGCCGTCGGGGCCGGGGGCCGGGGCACGGCGGACGGCAGGTGGTCGTCTGATGAAGATATCCTTCCCCGCCGGCCTGGCCGGGTACGAGCGCGTCGGGCGTGGCGGCTGTGGGAAGCACTCGCCTGCAAGTTGGCAGTCCTGTTGTCTGGAAGCCTGCTGCTGCCGCCGGCTGGTTTTTACAGGGCAGCGGCATGCGAGTGCCGGGTACAGGGTGTTGCAGTGATCCAGGCGCGCCAGCCCTGGCGTCCTCGTCCTTGAAGAATACTGTACGTTGCATCGACCAGGTCGTGTTGCTTTCCGTTTATCGTGGTTGATGACTCTACGATGGGTTTGAGCTGCTCTGCGTGCGTGCGTGTGTTTTGAGGTTTTTGGGGTCGTCCTGTCGCCGACACCCGCTGTCCGCACGCATTTGACGCCCCACTGCGCCCGAGAGAGAAACGCGGGGAAGGAGATGGAGGGGGGGGGGTGCTGTTCGCTGAATCCATCGGCCATTAGGAGGGAAGGCTATACGCGCCGATAAGAAGTTCTTACGACAAAGTAGCTCTTCCCCTTGCTCTCTCTTTCTTCCTTGCGTTTTTTTGGCTCTCCCGCGTCTAAAATATTTGGGCGTGCTGCGGGCTGACTGCGTGTGGGTGAGGCGAGGGGAGGTGGGGCACTTTGGGGCCCAGATTGATCAGGACTGCTCGTTTTGTGGCGGACCGTCTGGGGGGCGAGAGACACGCGGAGAGACGTTTCGTGAGAAGATCGCTCCCGCTCCTCCGTTCTCTCCTACCTCCGTCGCTCCCTCTGCAACAGCAGCAGCATCAGCAGCCGGAGACGGACGTTTGATGGGCTGAGAGTGTGTGTTTTTGTGGGCGGGTTCCCGCCGCCCGTGGAGTGCGCGCGCATGTTGTGGGCCGTCCTGTTTTGATTGGGCCCTGATGAGTGTCTCCCTGTCTCCGCGGGCTCGTGCCCCGATTGTCTCCCTGTCTCCGCGTGCTCGTGCCCCGATTGTCTCCCTGTCTTCGCTTGCTCGTGCCCCGATTGACTCCCTGTGTCCGTGATCGTGCCCCGATTGTCTTCCTGTGTCCCTGCTCGTTCTCGTCTCCGGCGACGTTTACCGCCCCGTTTCGCTCATTGGCTCCGCCGCGGGGCGGCGGTGCGAATGGCGCCTCCGCGGGTGGTAATTGGCTCATCGGCGGCGCCCCGTCGGCGCCCCCCGCGGGGTCTCCTGGGCCGGCCGGGGCCTGCCTGGGCCCCCGCGCACTCGACTTGTTGCTCGGATTAGGGCGCCCCCCGCTGCCGGCCGGGGCGGCGGCCGCTGGATGCGCAGCGGCCATTGAATTCGTTTAGGCCCCTGCGGTTGCGACAGGGGGGGGCGTGGAGGAGGAGGAGAGAGGGGGGGTGGTGCTCTCGCGTGCCCGCGCCAGGTGGACGTCGTCGGGGCCCCGGGAGGGTGAGATGCAGCCCAGACGAATGTGAGTGTTGTGTATTCAAATCTGATGCGCGAGCGTGGGAAGTTTCCGTCGAGTCCGGAGCGGCCGGCGGCGGCGCGGCCGGGCAGAGGCCGACCAACCTCGGCTGGCCGGTCAGGAGGCGGCGGCGGCCGCGGAGCTGCGGCCCGGCCTGCGCGCGGCGGCTCTCCCGTGTGGAAACTATCCCTCTCCGTCCAGTTGGCAACACTGCGTCATGGCGGTAAATGGCCGGCCGCGTCCGCGGCTCTGTCTCGCGCGCGTGCAAGAGAGAGAGGAGAGAGTGAGAGCGGGAGAGTAAGAGAGAGCGAGAGAGATGGCGTGATGGGTGCGTCGCGCCGCCGCGGCGCGGTGTAGCGGATCACTTTGTCCCGGAGCGGGGGGGGGGGGGGCGTCGCCGTGATTCGGGGGGTCCGCGGCGCGGCTGTAGGCTCCTCCCCCTGGCTCCTGGCCGTCGCGTCGTGGGTTCGAGCCTTCCTCACTTCACCGCTGACTAATTTTCATTTTCTTTCTCTGTTTCTAGTGCGGCGTGTCCGGCCCAGCCCTGGAGCTGTCACGACACCTGGGCACCATGGCAGGGTACCTCAAGGCCCCCCTGCCGCCGCACCCCTTCCACCCGCACCCCCCGGTGCCCAGCCTGGGCGGCCCCTTCGGCCTGCAGCACCACATCGACTCCGGCATGGGCTTCCCGCCCGGTAAGTTCTACTATGGTAAGCGCTCGACTATCGACACGACGACCAGAGAGACAGAGAAGTTGGTGGACGAGGAAATACTAAAAGAAGCTCGAAGCTCGCTCGCAGCAGATGATGCACTTAACACTAAACTAGCATACTTGATTGTACCGTGTGGGTGTTCTAAGCTGCAGGCGCGGGTCCCCGGCGGCGCTTTCTAGCCCCGTGCGAGTATGCAACCCGTTCGCTCGCCTGCACCCGGTTCAGTACACCAGCAAATGTGCAGCTTAGATCATCCACCATACCATGCATTCCAGTTGTATGTGTCATGTAGTACTGTCACTTCGCCTTGCTCTCGAAAGCGACGAGTATTGGACGCATCGCTTCTGCAGAATTTTCGCTTTATTTCATTCAACGCTCTTTCGTCCGAGTGGCCTGTTTCTCAAAGTCTCCTCCACAACGAAGGAAATTCAAAAATTTGTTCAATAATTTGTCAAAATTTTGCTGTGTGCATGAGTATACCTCGCTCGCTTCGTTCTCACCATGGGCCCTAGTATATATGGTCATATCTGTGCATGCTCTATGTACCAACAACTGTGCTTACGGGGTGCGCGCTGTCGCCCCCTCCGGCGCCCCCCCCCC